ACGTATGAAGGTACTTCACAAGTCAAAACTTCTCGGATAAACTCCTTAAAGCATCAATTCGAACTATTCAAGATGGAGGAAGGTGAGTCCATTAGACAAATGTATGAGAGGTTCACCAATATTGTGAACAGCCTAGAGAATCTGGGAAAAACCTATGAGAGTGGTGATTTGATCAGAAAGATCTTGTGGAGCTTACCAGAGAAATGGATACCGAAAGTAACAGCAATCGAGGAAGCCAAGGACTTAGAGAATCTTGCCGTAGATGAGCTTATAGGGTCATTAGCTACTCATGAAGAGAAGCTAAAAAAGTCTGGCCAAGAGAAGGACACTACTGATAAGGGAAAGCGAGGGATTGTGTTCAAAGTTACAAGCCAGATGGATGAGTCCGAAGAGCTTGATGACATGGAAGATGAAGAGCTCGCTCTTTTAAGTAAACAGATCAGTAGACTTATCAGAATTCGAAAGGAGAAGAAGTATGGAGGATCTAAATTCAGAGAGGCGGAGAGAAATGAAGGAGGCTCAAAATTGGGGCAAGCAAGAACCTCAATTCGAAGCAGAAATGAAGGCATACAAAACTACAAAGGAGTAAACTCAACTGGATGCTTTAAATGTGGGAGATCAGGACACATTAAAGCAGACTGTCCTCAACTGAAGAAAGAAAAGGCATACGCTGCTACTTGGAGTGGAAGTGAAGATGAAGGAGAAGAAGAAGAGGAAGTAACAGTACACAGGTCTTTCATGGCAATTGCAGAAGACAAGACAGAAGAAGATGAGGATTCAAGATGCTGTCACTCACAGGTAAGTATCTCTGAACCTCAAATTGAGTATGAAAGTGATGATGACATGTTAGTTGACACCATTAGAGAAATCCAAATAGAATTTAGAAATGTGAAAACAAAGTACTCAATTTTAGAGAGAGAGAACGAGAACAATGTCTTAAGAATAGCAGAACTTGAAAGGTTGTTAGCTGCAAGTGAACTAAGAGAAAAGAGTTTGGAGGACAGCTTGATGATTAAGATAAAAGAAGGTGAAAATTGTTATCTGAAATGTAAAGGACTTGAAAATCGAATTCAAGGGTATCAAAAACAACAAAAGATGAATAACAGGAATAAACACCATAAGTTAGTTGAATGTTATTACTGTCACATGTTTGGTCATGGAATAAGAGACTGTGAAAGAAGATTAAGATAAGAAAGCAGGAAAAATAAAACCAATCTGTTTGATTATACTTTAAAAGTTCCTGACTGGCATAAATATCATTCAAAACCACCCAAGCAAGTCTGGGTGAGAAAAACAGCATGATTTATATGTGTGTGCAGAGATGTCTTCAAGTGAGCATGGAGACCTCTAAGTGGATAATGGACAGTGGGTGCTCACACCACATGACAGGTAACAAATCCTTGCTTTCAAATCTTGAACTAGGTAGTTTTGGAAAAGTATTTTTTGGTGATAATAACACTACTGAAATCATTGGAAAAGGTCAAGTGGGAATTTGTCCTTCAATAAAAAATGTAATGCTGGTCAGTGGCTTAAAACACAATCTAATGTCAATGAGTCAGATGTGTGGGAAGGAAAACAGAGTGATTTTTGAACCTAACTGTTGCTATGTCGAAAATATTAAGTCTAAACAAATCTTGTTCACTGGGAAAAGAAATGGTAAAATATATACAATTGACCTAAATGACAAAGAAAGTTTTAATGAAACCTGTCTGGTCAGTTTAAACAGAAATCCTCAAGAAGTCTGGCATAGACGTTTAGGACATGTAAATGTTAGCACTCTATCCAAACTAGCTCGTTTGGGTTTGGTTAAGGGTCTTCCTAAGATGAATGAGAAACCTGAATTTTTCTGTGATGCATGCGCCAAAGGAAAACAAACCAGAACTAGTTTTAAAAGTAAAACAGTAATCTCTACTTCAAGACCTTTAGAGTTGCTCCACCTTGATCTATTTGGACCCTCAAATGTAGTAAGTTATGGAGGAAAATCATATGCTTTTGTGATTGTAGATTTACTTGGGTTTTGTTTTTAACCAAAAAGGATGAAGCTCTTGGACTTTCGTTATCCCTTCCTTCGATCGACCAAAAACCCAGAGAAGTTGAACAAAAAGGTTTAGAACCCTAAATGAAACCAAAATCATAAGAATCAACATGCAACCTAACAAACAAGCTTACCTTCGGCGTCCTCCTCGCCGGCGACCATTTCGTCGCATTCGTCGCCGATTGACTCACCATCGGGCTCTCTGTTCATGGAGGGGAATTCTCCTCTGACCTGTTTGAAATTTTCTGTAGTGAATTAGGAATCTTCCACAACTTCTCTGCCCCTCGAACCCCACAGCAAAATGGGGTTGTAGAAAGAAAAAATAGGACCTTGATAGACATTGCACGCACCATGCTTCATGATTATGGGATTCCAAAATACTTCTGGGCGGAAGCCATTAATACAGCATGCTATGTTGTCAATAGAGCCTTAATCAGGTCGGGTTTAAACAAGACCCCGTATGAAATTTGGAAAGGTAGAAAACCCAATCTAGGATATTTTCGTACCTTTGGGTGTAAGTGCTTTGCTTTAAATACTAAGGACAATCTTGGGAAGTTTGATGCTAAATCAGACGAAGCTGTATTTTTAGGATACTCAACCTCTAGCAAGGCCTATAGGATTTTTAATAAACGGACCCTCAAAGTTGAGGAGTCCATTAATGTGGTATTTGATGAAGCTATTTTTGAGAATTCAGATGTTTTGGATGATGATGATTTTGGGCTTGGAAGGTCTTCTCCCCTGACCTTAATCAACAACTCGGAGTCTCAAGCTCAGGAGATGAACTTGACTGATCCAAATCAAGCGGATCATGAGCAGGAAACAAACAAAGAAAATAACACATCTAAGACCTGCAATGGAGTAGGAGCAAGCACTACTGCTGCTGAGGCTCATCCTCCTGCCTACATCACCAAAAGACATCCTCCTACCCAAATAATTGGGTCCATAGACAAAGGTATGCTTACTAGATCCAAAACCACTCCTTCTCATACTGCATTTGTATCTATGATTGAACCTAAGTCTATAAAAGAGGCTCTGTCTGATGAGTTTTGGACTGCTGCAATGTTTGAGGAAATGCATCAGTTTGAGAGGGCAAACGTGTGGGAACTTGTTCCAAAACCTGAAAATAGAATAATTATAGGGACAAAATGGATCTATAAAAATAAAACAGATGAAATTGGAGTAATAACTAGAAATAGGGCTAGATTAGTAGCTCAAGGTTACAATAAGGAGGAGGGCATTGATTTTGACGAAACCTTTGCCCCTGTAGCTCGCCTTGAAGATGTTAGGATGTTGTGTGCATTTGCTAGTGCATCTAGGATTAAACTTTACCAAATGGATGTTAAGAGTGCTTTTCTCAATGGAGAATTAAAAGAGGAAGTGTATGTTGCACAGCCTCCTGGTTTTGAGGATCAAAAATATCCTAATCATGTGTTCAAATTAAAGAAAGCTCTGTATGGTTTGAAACAAGCTCCCAGAGCTTGGTATGACAAACTGAGCTCCATTCTTTTGGAAAATGGTTTTCAGAGAGGGTCAGTTGATAAAACACTTTTTACTAAACAAAAATCAGGGCAGTTATTGTTAGTTCAAGTGTATGTCGATGACATAATATTTGGAGGAACAAGTCAGAAAATGTGTCTAGAGTTTGAAGATCTTATGAAGACCAACTTTGAAATGAGCCTAATGGGGGAACTTAACTACTTTCTGGGCTTACAGATAAAACAGACCTCAAAAGGGATTTTTATTTGTCAATCCAAATACATTCAAAACATGATTAAACGATTTGATTTTGGTAATCTGAAAACTGCCATCACACCTATGGCATCTTCTCTTAAGATTGACAAAGATGAATTTGGAAATACAGTAAATGAGAAAATGTATAGGGGACTGATTGGATCTCTCTTGTATGTGACTGCTAGTCGGCCTGACATCTTATTTAGTGTGTGTGTATGTGCCCGGTTTCAAAGTGCACCAAAAGAGAGTCATTTGTCCGCCGTTAAGAGAATTTTCAGATATCTGGCTGGGACAATTGATTTTGGATTGTGGTACTCTTGTGAATCAAGTTTAGAATTGGTAGGATACTCTGATTCAGACTATGCTGGTTGCATAGTTGATCGCAAAAGCACATATGGAACCTGCCACTTTATGGGGACTTCGCTTGTGGCATGGTTTAGTAAAAAGCAGAATTCTGTTGCTTTGTCGACTGCAGAGGCAGAATACATTGCAGCAGGGTGCTGCTGCACTCAGTTACTGTGGATGAAATTTCAACTTCTTGATTATGGTCTTGAAGTTGGCTCTCTACCAGTACTATGTGATAATACGAGCGCAATCAACATGTCCAAGAACCCTGTACAACATTCTAAAACAAAACATATAGAGATTAGATTTCATTTCATTAGGGATCTTGTTCAAGAAAATTCAATTCACTTAGAATTTGTCCCTTCGAACTACCAATGGGCTGATATCTTCACAAAGCCTTTGGGCTCAGATCCTTTCATTCGGATCCGACGAGAGCTAGGGTTATTCAATTTGAAGGACATAGAGGAATTGTCTGCTCAACCATGACTTTCTTTCCTTTATTCAAATCCACTTACTTCAAATAAGAAAATCTCTTTTCCTATACTCAATCCTCTTGATTTGAAGAATCTCTGAGCTTTCGGACCAAGGATCTGGTTACCTTCTTTAGAACTTCCCTTTTGTTAATTAATCCCCATCTCTCCTATAAAAAGGCTTAGGGTCGGAGGTCTTCTATCATCACCCTCATATCATATTCCTCACTGATTTCAACAGAAGATCAATGGCTTCTGGTAACCAGCATGTGACTTCTTTGAAGTTAGCTCAAGCTGCCATTTTTAATGGCAAAGGCTTTGAGGATGCAGCTGGTTATGCTCGATATCTCCTCCAGTTTCAAGATCGCCCTTTACATCCCTCCATTACTCTTGATCCATCAACTTTCAACAGGTATGGGATGGATATCCCTCGCCTGATCAATACCATAGGCTGGGGTGACATACTACCAAATCGAAACTTTGGGTTTCGACCAGAGGCTGTACGCATGTTCTATGCTAATATGAAGCCCTGTCTTCACATCTCTCCACCATGTTTCACTACCATAGTGTACAACTGTCTCATAACACTCAATGTGGAGTTGCTGTCCTTACTTCTGGGGATTCCAGTTTCTGGGGCTGAAGTCATGAATGAGCTTGACTTCCATTCGGTTGAGTTCAATGAAGGAGATGCCTTGCGGCTGTACACTAGGGATACAGGTCTTTATTATCCTTCGGAATTTCATGCTGGGAGACTTCCTGATGATCTCAAAGTTCTGCATTTTTTCATCACTAGGCTTTTTCTACCTCGCTCGTTTGGCCTCAATACCATTTATCAATCTGATTTATGGATTCTAGCAAGTGCCAAGGAGAATCGAGTTATAAGCTATCCCCATTTGATGTTCGACCATATGTTGAACTATCATGCTGATAACTTTGAAGCCGATCTTCCTTTTGCTCCTCAGATCACTCAGATCTTGTTAGCATTGGGAATTGACTTAAGGTTCAAAGTCGCTCGTGTGGACATGCTTAGCTCTCTTCGTGCTCAGTTCATTATACGCAAGGTAGATGCCTCTGTTGGTCGTAGATGACCTCTAGTCAATGCTCCAGGGGGAGACTCAGTTGCCCATGCATTCCCTGAGGATGGTCTCAGTCTTGCTGAGCTAGATGGGGATGAAGCAGTGAGAGAACCAGAAATACCTGTCAGAGATAATGGCAAGCGACCTATGATGGATCCGTTAGAGGCTGTTCAAGCCATGTTCAGGCAAGAAGAGGCAAGCAGCAGCAGGGCTATGATGATGGAGGAAGAAGATGCTATTTCGGATTATGTGCCATCACCAAAATTTGATTTTTAAGGGAGTACTGATCTTAGGGGGAGCATCCGTATTTGCTTATTAGGGGAATAAATATCTTAGGGGGAGCACCTGTGGTGCTTATTAAGGGATTAGTGCTCGTAGGGGAATCTGGTAGAAGTAAGTGTCTCGTATCAGTGTCAATAAAGCTCTGTATGAGCACGTGTCTATGTGGTTGTCTGGAGACTGTGTCTCAATTGTCATGAGTTCAATTATGAAATCTTAGCTTTATTGCTCAAATCTCTTGAAATATGATTTGTCTTGGATCATCAATCTAGAACAGTCTGCACGTAACTGTGTGTTGAATGTGTGCAGAAGTGGCATAGGCAGCTGTTGGGATCATTGACTGACTTAGGGGGAGAATGTTGGAGGAAAGTCAGTCATGAATCAGAAGAACAAAGGAAAGAAATCTGGGATAGAATGGGTCAGCATTAAAATGAATCATAGAGCAAGGAAAGAAGATATCCTGGGAGCGGAGCAATTCATTGGGAGAACATTTACAGGAAAGAATTCAAAGAAGAGACTTACCATTCCTGAAGCTGCAACGGCTAGTCCCTGAAGAGTATAAGAAGAACTTCTCTGAATCAAGCTAATCACTTTTCGGGAAATCAATCCTGCAAGAAGAGCTAAAGAGTGTAGCTAGTGAGTTTGATACGAAAAGAGAGACTGATTCACTTTCTGGAGAGAATTTGAATTGAGGAGTGTTTGGGACAAACATTGTAGCTGGATAGCTGAGAGAAATCAGGATACTAGAGAACTGATCGATTTCCAGGATTGGATCGATTGAGCTCATTGGTGTAAAAGTGTAAAACAATTAAGAACAGTGAGCTTAGTGCAACGTCGGAAATCACAGCATTGTGATTTTCTGACCGTGGATTAGTCAGAGTTGGGATTACTTTTACCCAGCTCTGGAAACCACGTAAAAACTGACGGTGTTTCCTTTCTGTTTATTGTGCTTAATCTGTTCCTCTGTTTATGCAAGGTTTCTGAGTTCGTTTAGAACAGGGGAAGTAAGTCTCTGAAACTAAACATAGAAGTTGAGAAGGGAAGGTTGAAACGCAGCGGATTAAGAGAAGGTTGAGACGAGAAGTTGTGACGAGAAGGTTGAAACGCAGCGGATAAGGAGAAGGTGTAACTGGGCATCTGCGTTTAATAACCGGGCTCTAACCGAAGTTCTCTTGGGCTTTATGAGTTAAGCCCAATATTAATTGGAAAGAAGTATTAGAACCCATAGCATCCATTTCCTGTTTGTTTAATCGTGTTTCAGCATTTGCTCGAGGTTTCCTTTGTTCTTCACTGATCTTTGTCCAAAAAACAGAGTTAGGGTTTCAGGTGGAAGAGGCGATAGGGACGTATTTTAGCCAGGCATCTCGCGCTCGACGCCAACAACAGGAAACCACCCGCTGGTGCTGGGAAACCAGGTGGTTTAGTGGTGTTGCTGTTCAAGGCAAAGTTGGGATGCTGGCGCCACCCCTCATTGTATGTATTGCTATATGGGTCAAGGCGCCGAGCATTGGCGATGAAGTCCACCTGTTCTTGGGGAGTAGAGGATTCCCTCATAGCCTGACAGTCCTCCACCAGATGATTCGGGCTCTCACACCACTGACACTGAGCTACTGGAGGCGTAGCTGTACCTCGGCCCGGAATAAGACTGTTGGGCTACTTCAATGTCTGCACCAACTCAGCCACCTGCTGCTCTAACCCGGACCTGGCCTCCATAGCGTGCACACCACGGTCCCGGGAATTTCTGCCTCTGCTGCTCTGCCCCCAGGAATGATCTCGGGCAGCCAAGGTACTGATCATCTGGTTCAGCTCGGGTGGAGTCTTAGTGAGAATATCCCCTCCTGGGCATAGAGACTCAATCACCCTCTGGCTGTCCGGGGAGAGAGCACTGTAGAAGTTCCCCACTGTGAATGCATCACTGAAGCCATGATGGGGACACTGCCAGAAATATCCCATGTACCACTCCCATGCATCACGAAGTGACTCGTCTAGCTCTTGGCGGAAGTGAGTGATCTCCCGCTGAATCTCTATGGTCTTCGATGCTTGGTAGTACCGGTGCACGAACTTGTCTGCCAGATCGTCCCAAGAAGTGATGGACAATGGGGGCTGGGTCTCCAACCACCTCTTAGCATTCCCCGCCAGAGAATGGGGGAAGAGGTGAAGGCGGATTGCGTCATCCGGGACACCGTTTAGCTTGAACCCGTTCGTCAGCTGCAGAAAACAGGAAAGATGCACCCTTGCCTCCTCATCCTTCAAGCCATGGAACTAGATAGAGGATGTAATGAGTTGAATCCAGCATGGCTTGATCTCGAAGTTGTTCGCTGGAATGGGGGGATAGAGGACGACCGGGCGGATGTCAGCAATCCGTGGAGTGTAGTAGTACTCCAAGGTGGGACCCGGCGGCGGTGGATGATGATGAACCCCATCTGCCTGGGGTATGGGGTTGTTCCCCAAGAGCTGATTCACCGGGGGAACCTGGAGAGGATTCCCCGGGGGTGGGTTGTGTTCGCCTTCCATCTCGTACTCGTCCTTGGACTCGCTGCTCAAATGGCCGTCTATGCGCTCTTCCGTAGCCAGTCTAGCTCGCTGTTGTCTCCTAAGTTGGCGGCAGGTGCGTTCAAGCTCTGGATCCAACGGCAGTAAACCTCCCGACTGGCTACGGGTCATGCACTATATGCACACAGTCAAGCAATGCAAACCCGTGAAGGCACAAGTGGGAAAGAACAAACACTCAATGCAAAAATGAAAATGCTAAAGTAACAGAAATCACTTTTCTTCAACAACCTAGCCGTCCCCGGCAACGGCGCCAAAAACATGACTCACTCCTACTGTCACTCTAGAAATTGGCCAAGTGCAACCACTTCCTAAAGCGTAGTATAGCGGGTTTGGGTTTTAATGTCAACCCGGGTCCTAGATTTGATGACTACTCGGTGAATTCTTGTTATCTAGCAGTGAAACTTTAGTGCAAGTCCAAATGAACAAACAAACAAAGCAAGTTAAACGGTTGTTTTCAAGTCGAGAGAGGTCACCCGGATATGGTTCCCCCTAGACTGTAGTTAAGCCGGATTGCAATTTACCAAGTTCAGTTTTCATGAAAGTTATACTGCGGAAGGTTCTTAAACAGTCTGAAGTCTCGACTAAAGGTCTCCAGACCCTCTCAATCTGAGTCTCCAGCAGGCGACTAACCTCCACCTGAGTAAACAGATTGAGGCCCTAACGAACCAAACCTCCACTACCGAATTGAATTCGGTACAGAATAATGAATTGGCTCGTCGACTAAAGTCGCCAATTCACTACCTCCAATTAAGGGTGCTCTATCAACCTAGGCAGATATTCTCTTTCTAGGTTAAAGCAGAAACAACAGGAATTTGATCAGGATTCAAGTCATTCAATCATTCATGCCTCAATCGAATATAATCAACTCATAAAATCTGTACTTGGGTTCATAAAATCAGACCTAACATACAAATCTAGGGTTCCACATACCCAGATGAATGGGGAAACTACTCCATGGAGAGAGAAGCAAAAGCAGATTCAGACGCGGAAATCATACTGTGAAGGATGAGTTTCTGCTCCTGGTTGTCAGTCGGCACTCCTCCAAGCTCAAGCTGGGCTCCAATGGTGATGAAGATCAAGCTATGGCACTTGGGAACTCTGGTTCGTCGCTTTCTCTCTCTAGGAATCGCTCTGTCTCTCTAAAACTCGGAACCCTTGATTTTTAGCCTTCTTTTCCTTTAAAAGTGCTTCCTGTCGCGATACCCGGTCGAAATACCCGGTCGGGTATTTTGGGTCTCGACCGTGTATAATGGAAACGCGCGTTTTGCCTCAGGGAAAAATCCCCGGTCATGGCCAATAATCCCCGACCTGGGATTTAAGCTTCACGACCGGGACCCCCTCTGTTCCTCAGACGTCCAAAACGATAAATACCCGGTCTCCTCAAAATAATACCCGGCCGGGTATTTATGGTCATGGCCGGGTATTTTTGTCCTCCAGCGCGCTTCGACCCAAACGAGCTCCCTTCGACCCGAAACTCGTTCCTTCGCCTCGATGCCCACGCTAAGCCCTGAAATGTGACATAAACGCACAACCTAGCGTGAAATCGGCTTAAAACACGAGAATCAACATCTCAAACGGCTCAAGAATAGGGGTAAAAGCATGTGTAATTATCGGTCTATCACTTTCGTACTAACTTCACGCCTTTCGTTCGAGGCCTTCCCGAACTCCAATCCTTCATCCAATTCCTTCCCTTGGTAGATAAACATACCTATTTTCATGTTGTAGAAGCCTTTGGACTTGAATCTCTTCCATGCTCCTCGAATTGAGCTCCAAAGTAGGCTTCATGAACACAGATTTATACTTAGACAGATTCTGGCAGTTTTCCTGTTTTGAGATAGCAACTTTGAGGCCTTGGAAAGCAACCTTAATGACTTCTTCTGGATAAAAAAACCATGCCAACTTGAAGAGGAAGACTTTATCTTCAAAACAAACCCTTAGCCTCCAATTTTCAGTGAGCCAATTGTGAGAACCAAGCCTCCAAAGTAGGTACCTTGACACTGTTCCAACACAACCAAATTCTGCCTCTTTTCTTTCCAACCTTGATAGCTTCTTTGGCAAGTAATTGTGACTTGTAGAAGTCGCCAATTTGGATCATATCACCACGTGAAGGAGATGATATTGTTGATATTGTGAATCATGTGTATGTTGATCTCCATTTGTGTTATAGTGAAGGAACCTAT